CCTTTTCGTTCATAACATTTAGGAGACTTAATTCTCCCGCTACGATCTTATTACTATCAATTTCCTCTGAGACTACTTTTCTTTAGTCTTGTTGAATTGCTATTATTAGATCATTCGCCAAGCTAAACTGACCCCAATGTTTACCAAGTCCACTTTGAATTAACTCTACTACCTCAAGGTTGCCAATATATGAGTTTTCCTCCCAACTTTTAGCAAGGCGACCCAATCTTTTTTCCAGGGGTTGGGCTTGGGAATACGCCACTTTCCGGTGTTAGTTTCGGGTTTTTTTTGAGCAATTTTGGGGTCAAGACGCTCAAAGGTCTACTTGAGGTCACCCAGGAGTCACCTGGGGTCAAACATCTATAATTGGGTTCACAATCTCATGGGGGTCCTAACTACAAAGTTCCATCCATATCCCATTATTATTTCACAAGTAATCCCATTTCTAAGGTCCATTATCACTTTTTCCGGGAAAATGCTATTAACACTGGAAGGAGTCACCGGAGCGTTTTCCATCATAAGGGGTCTTTTTTCGAAGTTTGTATCGTGTGTCGATTGCTGCATTAAAATTGTCATACCACCTCCACCGTTCATTATTTTGCGTTAATTGCCTATTTCCGGTCTAAGGGGTGTTTTTTGTTCACGTTCTAATAACTTCCGGTTCAACCACCGAATTTGGTTCGAAATTATAACACAGGATTTATCTTGCCATTATCTATCAACCCTACAATTTTCAGCTCCCTGTGATCATTGGAGGCCGAGAAACGACTTCCGGAAGTTAGGGGTGGGTTTGTTTACTTAGGGCAGGTGTTTGTTTACTTTTCTTGAAGCTCGAAAGTAGGGCTCCTAGGGGTCTGAGGTTCCAAACTTAAACTAGGCGCACAACAGACTTAAATTTGAGCCCAAAAACCGTGGCTAGTTTTCGAAATCTGATAAGGCCATTTACACTTCCGGGGACCGTTATCACTTGCCCCCCAAGAATCTTATGGGTCCCGTTTTCGTATGCCCGGGTCAAACATCTCTCGTATCGCTCCTCTGAATTTCATAACATTAGCTTCCTTAGTTCTGATTTGGGGGGAGGGGGTTCGCCAATTTTGTCAAATTCTGTTTTCTGGCATAAGATGGACGATATCTTCGAAGAAAGAACTATTTTGAACTTGACCTTTTGTTTGCTGTACCACTTAACTTAATGACGAATCAACCTTACGCTCAGGTCACTATAGCATGTAATACAGTCTACCAATTCTACAGAAAGCAAAAATTGCCATCCTTTTGGCAAACGAATCTGAATATTTTTTAGAAACCAAAATTTGAACCACGAAAAATCATGTTTGTCGTGAGCAAATTTTAAAGATTTTCCTGAAAACAAAATAAAGAAAAAATCAACTCGAACTACGTTAGTGTCTGCATTGCGTTCATTATTTTTTTCTCAGAACTAGTTTTTCCTGAATTTCATGTGATGAGGTTCATATAAAATTTAGCACCAGTTATCCACCCTTGGGTTTTTCAGTTTTATGACCTGAGTTTATATGCGATTCTATTATTTTTTTCTTGAAGCTCAGAGTTTTTTTAGCACCAGCTGTCTAACACTTGGTTTTTCAGTTTCCAATCATGCATTTCTTCCAAAAACCACAAAACAAAATTTCAAAAGATTTTTGAATCGCCAAGTAACTCATCCATTTCATAATTTTTTCTTCTGAATGACATGTTGAATATTGATAAAATTCAAGAAAAAAATTTTCTGCAAGAAAGGTGGAACTGAAAAAGAGGGAAAACTTCCACCCTTTTCATTGTTGTATCCATATTCGACAATAACTCCTACATAAAACATTAATAGTTCATAGTATTCATTCTTCTGAGAAGCGAATAAGATTTGTCATCGCCACTGCTTGCCAAAAGTTGACAAAAAATGAAAAATTTGGGTGGTTCGTTTTCAAAAGGAGTTTTAAACATATTTCAATTTTTTCACCATTGCGTCAAAAGTTACCTCAATTGACAATCAGTCGAGCTTTACGATTTCCGACCCGATTTAAATTTTAATAAGTTAATATCAGTATATTTCAAGCAGGAGCGGTTTTAGGGGGGCGGGGGGATTCGACCCCGCAGCAAACAAAGGGTTCCACATTTGTTATTACTTTATAAAATCCATTTTTGGTCGGTCACCCCCTAATTTTTCTTCGTCCCCTTCGGCACCAATATATACTAATTTTGAACGGGAGCATGAGCCAAAAAAAAACGCATTTGGTTGGTCAAAACTTTCAAAAAGTGTCCAAAAACGGCATTTCTAACCTGCTGTTTTTTCAGTGGCACAGAAAATTTTGACAAAATAGGGTTTTTATAGTGTTCCGGGAGTGCTCAGAAATCAGTTTTGTCCACCTTGAAAAAGCCGCCAATTTTTCCAAAAACTTTTGAAAATCCCCCTCAAGAGAAAATCCTAAATCTGCCCCTGGTTCCAAATATTGGTAATTTTGGAGAGCTTTAAGAAAATGGCCCAGTCTCAGCATCCTCAATCAAGTTCGAAGCCCTCATTGATCTTAGTCATTACCTGCGGGAAAAGCTGCAAATCCCAGCCCAGAAAATTTATCAAAAATGATTGTAGTTCTTAAGGAGGGACAGAAGCACTGTGGACAAATCATCTGAAATTTTGTAGTTTTGTAGTAATGATTATCAGTTTTTACAGACATCAGCGCGCGATCCACTCATGGGGTCTTGTCAGATGTTCTCTGTCTGCTCTAGAGATGATGACCTGTCTCATGCTCCATCTGAATATGTTAAGCTAGCCCATACCAGAAGAAATGATCAAGGTTAATTATTAGCAGATTGCACATATGATGAAAAAATGATTTTGAAGTTATTCTCAGCCAGTATTAGATAGCTTACAGAGTTTTTTCGGAGATCAAGTGCTGCGCCATGTTGAAGTGATTTGTTTTTAGAAAAAACTCAAGCCATGATTGATATTTGAAAAAGTTCTCGCAGTGTCGACAAACTGTGATCTTAAAAAAGTCTTTTTTTAACACATTTGAAACTTTTTGTTAGTTTCAATTTTTTTTTTCAAATTTTTCTTACATGTATAATGCAGAAATTAATTTGAAGCAGAAGTGGATTGTGGGGTAGTGGTAGACGAAAAATGCCTAAAAATGTTTGGAAGAGCTTAGAAAATCAATTTGGTCAACCTAATAAAACTTTTTTGAAAATTCCCCCTCGAGAAAACCATATATCCGCCCGGTTTGAAATAAATATACCTACAGACTTTCCCTTTCGTTTTTTATTCGTCGCATTAAATATGTTTTTATCATTTTTGATGAGAATACATTTGGGCGCGGCCTCTCTCCGTTAAGATATTGTTTTCTCAAAAAAAAAACATTTTCCAGCTTCGTACACTTTTCGTGAGTTATGCGACTTTAAAAACTACAAAGTTGTTCAATTTACTGAACTAATATATCTTTTTTTGTGTCCTTTAATCTTTAATGATCCAAATGTACTTTGGTAATTGAACCGGCAAACAGATATTCTTATGATGGTTTTCCACAATGAAAAATAGTTTCATCACAATGCATAACATCGTACTTTTAGACCTTGAAATGGTTTGTAAATTCATTAGAACTATTTTTCTTTTCAAATAAAATATTTAATGATAATCCAATTAAAATCCATTTTGATATACTCTAATGGATCATAATTTGCATTATGTTTCCGACTTTTGTTACAAAAGTAACAGAATATTCGTGCTCGGGGTGGGTTTTTTCTTCAGACAAATTTCGACTTTTTAACTAGCCATTTTTGACGGAGTTTTTCTTTATCATTCAAAAATTATTGTTGTCCAGTGCTTAAAACTGAAAATATATTTTTACCTATGATCATTTTTCGTGAAGTTATGGGGGTTTAAAAGTTGCCATTATGGCCAATTTGGGACAATTAACGCGCGATATATATCGCGCTATCAACGCATAAGCGGATATTTAATCCGTCTTAGAAATGGTTCCAAATTTGTTGAAAGAATTTATCCTTTGAAACTTTATATGGCGTGTGGGAGGATGATTTCCACAAAAAATTTCAAGTTTTAGAAAAAAAAATCATTTTAATTTATTACATTTATTTTGTTAGGTTATTACTGCTCCATAAACCTTAAAAGGCAGTCGGAACATTCAGGGCTTCGCCTTGATACGAGCAGTCTTGTTTTGTGGCAAATATATTTGCTAAGCTCGCAGCACTTGATTCTACTCGCCTTTTTGTTCCAGCTTTGAAGAAAATTTAGTTTTTTTACTCAGTCAGTTTTCGGCCATCAAAATAATAAATTTTGAGAAATTTTTTCCTTACCCTATTGAAGATTTTAACTACATAAAACAAATATAAAATAAATTTTACCTTCAAAAGGTCATTTTTTGCAAAGTTCTGGGAGCTTGAAAACTGCTAATTTGGCCTTGCTCTGGACTAATTAATGCGCGGTTTGAATATTTTATTCATAATGTTGATAGGGTAACGCGAATTATTTACACGTCGCAAATTATCCCGAACAACAAAATCGTTCCAATTTGAATTGAGGCTAGCTTGCAAAACGGTCGTAAAAAATTAATACGACAAATATTTTCACACTTGATCTTTGATATTGTCTAAATTTTCTAGATTTTCGATAATATCATTTCCCAAAAACTTTTCGAACTGGATTAAGGGGCAGTCGTAAGAGCTTTGCCCTATACACGAGCAGTCTTGCTGATTTATGAAACCTTGTTGCGACCATTTGAAAAAAGTGTAGGAACTTTCTATTTGGGTGCCTTTTAGTTTTTTCCCCTTTTTTCCTTTTGATTTTCCACGCAAAATTAGAGAACACAAATAATCATCGGAATAGTTCGAGTGATAGATCATTTTAAATCCCTCCCAGTTGTGATTCGATGGAAGTCAAAAATATTCAAAAAAAATTCTTAGTGTCGAGAAACACAGGTTTAATTTTTGATTTTTGGTGTTATTTGAGCTAATAAAGGAAGTCTGCAGTCTACCAATAGCTTATTAAATCTTAAACTAGGCCGCGAGAGTTTAATTTTGCTCAGTTAAAATTAGTTTTGGGAGTTTTTAACGCAATTTTGCCAATCAAAAATTTCATAGAAAACTTTTTTAAAAATTTTTTCGATTTTTTTTTCAAATTTGTTCAAAAAAACCTGTTTTCCAAATGGCCTATTTGACTATGACAGTCAGATTTGCCTAATTTTTTGGTTCAGATTTTTTGATTTTTTAATCATACCACACTAAAAAAACTACATAATTTGAAAAAGAAAAATGGTGTTGTTTTCAAGACTTGCACAGTAACCGACTATTCTTATTTTAATGTGCAAATTGATATGCTTACCTAAGAAACTGAAGATTTGTAGAAGAAAATACGGGAAAAAATGACGGAAAAAAACAAAAAACCCTTGTCTGATAATCCAACAACTTTTTGCTAAAGAAAATGTGGATCTTTGATTTTACTGAAAAGTTTTTGAATATGTCAGACTAATTTTAGAAAAATTTTCTCTATTGCTTTAAAATTGATGAAAGGAAAATTGAAAAAATTTATTTGGATTTTGTAGCTCGAAAAAATCATAGCAATATAATCCATTTTAAATCCTTTATATTCAAATATTTTCGAACTTTCTAGAGACTGACTTTAAAACTTCCATGGGAATCCAGTATGAATAGCTTGTTTCTACTCAGCAACGTTCAGCTAGGTCGTTCTTTTTTTCCGCAGTTGTGATCTATCTAATCTATAGAGTAAATTAGAGGATGTTAACTTGAACCTTTTGTTCGTTCAATTTTGTGTTTTCAGAGAAAAAGTTCTCCTTGGTAAAGCAATTTCGCTCATGTTCGTCCTTATCGGAGTTTAATGACGCAAAAAAGCACTGTACGAAATATGACAACCTAATTTTCGATCTTTGCCTGAAAACGTGTGAAATGAGTAAGCTTCAACCTGGTTGTCATGAGTTCTCCGATTTTGTGTGCAATTTCGTTGTCTGGGAAGAAACTCAAAATGACACAGAACCTATGCTGGGAACCTGTTCAATGACTGAGAATTGCGATGAGCTGGCTTATGCTCAAAAAGCGCTCGTAATGAAACAAATTTTTTTTCCTTCTCAAAAGCGCTTGACAGGTAAGGCTTTCACATGCTAAAAATTGAGAATAAGAAGAAATACAAAATTTGTCAAAACGCAACGTAATCACTTGCAAAAATATTCTAATTTTTTGTTTCAATCTATAGTTTACTACTTAATATTCGGTAATGATTTTGACTTAAATGATTAACAAAATTGACGCCTCTCAGGGATTCGACCCTCTGGCCACCCCTTTGACACTATTTTGAGCGATCAATTTTTGGCTGACCGACCTTGATATTTTTCCATTGGCGCCTCATTTACAATTTTCGAGGGGAGAGCTCGCGCCGTTAAATGCGACTTTCTTGTCATAAGTTTCCAAAAATGTCGTTTTTGGCTGTTTCTTTCAAAAAAATTTGTTTTGAGAAAGCCCGGAAAATTATTTTGTCGACTAACTTTTCGACTTTTTGATAATCAGCACACACCCCCTCCCTCGAGAAAACCTAGATCCGCCCCTGTCACGTACCACCCGCCATTTATCATTTCTCAGAAATTTTTTGAAAACAAAATTTATAAAACTTTCAAAGCACTGAACTCTTCCCCCATCAATCCACATACAATGTCAGCTAGAAAATGACATCGTGTTTCTGGTCAATCAATAGTTTTATTCAGCTAATTGATTGACCTGATTTCAATGTAAAATAACTTTAGAGCAGATAAGTTAGTCGTGTTTTCATACAAACAAAACCGATTTGCCAATCCGACACAATTTAAATTTTTCAACCTTAAATGACACAGCTTAGGTAGTAATCTAACTCTATATAAAAGTATTGCTTGTGAAGTAATTTTGTTTTAAATTTAAGGGATTGATTTTTGTACTATCGTTTTGTCATAACCGTTTCAAAACCTTGTATTAAAAAGTGAAGTTTTTCCGCCTAAAAAAAAACAGCTCAATACACAAATTTTGGGTGATATGTTTGAGTATAGCGCACGTATTAAATTTGAGAACTATACTGCATAATATAGTCATTTATTTTCAATCAATTGTATTACTACTAAAATAGTTTTTATAAATACAGAACTCTGTGCTGTATGCTATTCAAAGAATGAAATTCTATTCAAAAAACTAATTTTAACACTTCTTTTGCCAAAAAATTTGGCTTTTGAAATTAATTAAAAATAATGTGCGAATTATAACAAAAAGTAATCCAGCTATTTTAAAACAAACCTACCACCTGCTGTAAAATATCACCAAATTTTCCATATCATCAACGCAAGTTGGAACAAATAGTTAATTAAAACTTCAATTGGTTTCAGAAACAAAAATAAAAAATTGAAAATTTATTTTGTGGAGAAATTTCTATTCGCTTCGATTAGAAGAAAATAACGGGAAAATTTATTTTTCATACCATCTGAAATTTATCAAAGCTCTGTGTTATAAAAGCAAAATAGAAAAAAACTCCAGGGGTGGATCTAAGATTTATGTCGAAGGGGGTTCACTTTTTTACGTAGACCAAACTGGTATTACAAACTCTCACAACACTATAAAAAACCAATTTTGATCAAAAAATTTTCGCAGCAGGCAAATTTTAAGAAAAAACAGGTCAAAAAAGCTGTTTTTGGGCATTTTTTGGAAAATTTATACCACGCACGCTCTCCTTCAACACTATTATTTATTGTATATAGGCGCCGAAAGCGCACATAGAAAAACTATAGAGTTGGTCGGCCTAAACTGAATGTCGCAAAATAAAGTCAAAAGAGGGACCCTTTGCTTGGCGAGAGGGTCGAAACCCTGGGAGGGGGAGGGGTTTCAGCGCCTTTTCTCTCTAATTCGGCCCCTGTTCTTCTCTACATTTTGAAGATCTAATTATAAATCAAAATTGCAAAGATTTTTTTCCAGACACTCGCAATGAAGTTCCATGGATGGTAGTCGATTACAATTATTTTTCGTGGTTTGTCTTCATAAAATTCCAAAATAATTGATTATAATGGTTTATTAATTGTTTATATATCAAATTTAAACCAACTTAAATCATGATACTTGATAATAATCAAGTATAATAGATGAATTATAATTGATTATAATAGATTTTTATGAGTAAGAGCCTACGAAGATTTTCTAAGAACTTGAAATCAATTGTTCAAAATTTGAACGTTGCAATTGCTAAATTGTGTTCTACTTTTGGTTACAGTAAAAATTGTATTGTTTTTTTAACTGTCTCCCACTCCCCGTTAATACTTACAGTTACTCCCATCATTCTTGCTTTCTTCACTTACCACTACCTCCCCTCCCCCATCACTTACACTTTACTTACATCTACCGTAAAAATACGTGAAAAATACCGTACGCATACCCCCTCCCCCTACCCCCCTAACCTGCTAAAACGCACATACAGCTCTAACAACCCCCCGAGGTGTGTGTGTGTGTGTGTGTGTGTGTGGCACGGTAGGTGAGGGAGTTAGGTGAGCGAGTAGGTCGGGTTAGAAAGGGAGAGGTGGGGGTGTAGGTAATGGGTCAGATTTTTGGATAGAGGTAGGGTGATGGGTGTAACTTTTTATGTGAGACCTGGGTTTAAAGTGTGAGGCATATCGTGTGATACTGCAAATTTTTCAGAAATATTGCAAAAATAGCGAGATGATAATCCATTATAATACATAACTATGGATTTTAAATGGGGGATAGGAAATTAGGTGACACGCAAATTAGACGGCTCCAATGAAACGGAATTTAAATGTTTAATTTTTTTTCTGTAAAACTAACTTCTTGGACAAAAAGCAAACGGCTAACAACAGTTTTTGCTTGAAACCATTTCTCACAAATACAAAATAAAATAATAATCCCTTTGCACAACCTCCTTGCAAATAACAATCCCTTTGCATATTTGTAAATATTTTTATAATTGAATTATAAAATGTTAAGCCAAATTCTTCAAAAGTAATTTTTTAACGAGCAATTTTTTGACCATTTTTTTCTACCACATTATAAATACAGATGTCTTGAACTGAAACATGATTTGAGACTTTTTACTGATTCGAGTTTGCTTGAACAGAAATTTAAAAATGAGAATTAAAAAAGCAGATTTAGAAAAAACAATAGAATTTTCGCTTATATATTTCTCATTTTTCTGATTTTTTGCTGGCAACTACATCAGGCCAATCAAAATGGATTTAGAGAAAAAAGAACTTCGCCCTGATACGAGCAAGTGGATTTTTTCTGTTATACGGCCCATATTATATTTTTCGACAATTTTGAAAATTTTTGGGGAATCAATGAGAAAATGTGCTCGATTGGCTGAGAAGGCGATTGGTTGAGAACGAAAGCAACCGAGACAAAAACTAGAAATCATTAATAAACCGAAGCTCATTTTGCCAAAAAAATCCAAAAATGCCCACAAACATGGAAATGGCTCAATTGTGGCCCGCGCCATAACGCCCCCAACCCTTGATAAAATTTTAAAACGGTTGAAATTTATTTGTTTTGTGTTCTGTAAATTGTCACAGTTATTTTGGTTAATAACAATTTGACGTGCAATTTTTCATGATTGGAATAGACCTCCGTATAAGGTAACAGAACCCGAGCAGTTATTTAGTTTAAGAAGACTACTCGTATATCAGGACAAAGCCCTGAGTGTTTTCTTTTTTTGGGAATTGAAAAAATTTAAAAACTAAATTGTGGACAATAGCAAAGATCAAGTATAAAACTTTGAGTCTTACGAAACTAATACAGATCTTGGCCGAGTAGCTAGCCTGGGGAACGAGTTTGTTGTGCGAATTCAATGGGGAACGATTTTGTTGTGCGAAATAATTTCCCAATTTCCCACGCATAAATTTTTTGCGCTACGCTTTCAATTTATGAATAAATTCTTCTAAGTGCGCACAAATTAGTCCAGAGCATGGCCAAATTGGCAATTTTCAAACTCCGAAAACGTTGTAAAAAAAGTGGTCAGAGTT